TTGTCGTTCCATCTCTTCAGTTTCATTTTCTACTGTGAAACAACCACCCTGGCCAGTGCTGCCACCTTGTGGAACAACTGATTAGTGCAAAAACCAAGTCAATGCACATGTGCGACATGCATGTACAGAACGCGCATTATATTTTGGTGAAGAAACTTCATCACGCACACTAGCTATGTTTCCATCCAAAGATTTGAATTTAACTTATGTGCAAAAATGCAATATCGCATAAAACATTTGCGAATAAAGCATCATTTCCATCCAACGAGTCAAAGAGAACAAAATGGTCACTTCCTGATAAACTGGCACTAAGAAAAGTAGGCAAAGCCACTAAATATAATAATTTTCATATAAAAAATTACTTGAGTTTAGGCCTGTCGCGATAATTAACCGTCTAATCGCGATTATTTGATCTAACATGATTATTGTGCTTTTCATACAGCACAAGGGGGAGTCATACACCTAAAGAAACAAAAAAGCACCAATTTGCTTGTCATGCACTGTATAGCCTATATCATCTGAAGCCATTCCATATCTTAATGTGAGGGACAGAATTGTATTTAAATTGTTAAATTGAAGTTTACAGAAACTCATCTTCCTTCTGCTGCAGCTGTCAGTCATTCTCCTGAATTAATAATCTCCTAAATTATACAGTCAGCTAGTTTAATTTCATAGCTTGTATAGTGATAGGAAGTTATATAGGAAGTGAGTATTTAGTGGATTGTGTTTAACAAAGGGTTTAAAAAAGAGTGACCATTAGTTCCACAAACACAGTATTGATATTCTGTAGTGGTGTAGAAACAAAATAGCGCTGGTGTTGGATCGGTATTGGCCGATTCTTAGAATTTGGAATACTCTGTGTAAACTTACACTGCAAAATAATAACTCAAAAAAGATTAAAAGATAACATCATAATTATTTAATGAACCCTTAAATTAATCACAATTATATAATGAAAGCCATAACAGACAATCGCGATAATCGTCATAATCGCCAAAGCCCTAAAACAGACAATTAATCA